GAGAGAGAGAGAGAGAGAATTTGGGGTCCCTTTTTGTTCTGAGTATAAATGGGAAAGCTTTGTAGCCGTTAAATAGCTAGATTCTGATGCCTGCTTATGGTGCCCATTGTTGGGGTCCCCTTTATGCTGGTACACTTCATCTGATGGCTATTCTCTAAAGGCAGGCTTTACTCGTGACCAATGTTTTTCCTGCTTTTTTCCCTCTATTCTCCTGCTTTTGGAGAAGTAGGTCTTTCTTTTTCCTGTGCTTTTAATATTGGTTTCCCTGTATAGGTTGAATTTGGTTCTTCTGGTATCATCTTTATGAGTTTCCATTTTGTTTCTCTCTGCCCTCCTCCTTTTGAGATAAGCCAAGTATGGGACTTGAATTGGAACCTATAAGTTGAGATGAAGAGCTCCATACCAGTAGGTTATGGTCTAAAACTGACCACCTTTTCCGTTTAGTCGCATGACATTCCTGTTTATCTTAGCTATTATAGCATAAGTCTTTGTCAAAACTTTAGACCCTCAGACCAACATAACATATTCCAAATCGATTATAGCAGCTTTTGGGGGGTAGAAAGATGGAGGAAGAGACACCCAAATTGGTATTATCCATGGATCCTGTGATCTTCTAGTTTTAGAAGACATTCCTCATGTAAAGTTTTTTTTTGGCATTGTTTGGCATATTATTCATTCAGGTTATGGCAACAAAGCAATGATGTCGAGACTTTTGAGTTTATCTTTTATAATATGATTTGGCAGTGTCTATGACTATCACTGATTAATTAGATAATTGGTTCAGGTCATGTTGGGTGTAATACATTCAATGATGCCTGGTTTTTCATGGGTAGAGATGGTGAGGCAAAGTCACTTGAAGTTGGGGTTGGGGCATCGGTGGTTAGGGGGTAGATGCCTCAACATAACGTCCCACCCTCCATTCCCACCATTAACATATCAAAGAAAAAAAGAAAAAAAAGAAGAAAGAAAAAAGTGGCAAAGTCACATGGAGTTGTATTAACAAGACGAAGTTCCCTATTGCTTCAAACCCTGTTAGTGTATCAGCAAATTCTGGTTACTTAACAATCGGAGATCCCAATTTCTCTTGAATTCTTAAATGTGTTGTTGCATTTTCGTTATTTAAGAATTTTGATATACTTCAACTTTTAATTATTACTAGTTAGTTTAAAAACACTCATTCACTACTTATGTCACCATTGCAGGAATTATTCTTTTTTTCAACATATGATGTAATTCTTTAAACATCTTGTTCCACCCTCTTGCAAGAAGTTAGCTATATTGGTCTAGAATATTTTAAGGAGCTTACTAGAATAAGAGAAATCTAGAAACTGGTTATTGTGACTTCTTTTTTTGCCCTAAGTTTAACATATTTCTATTGTTCCTGAGCTGTTTATCAATGAGAACAATAGTGAAATATGCTTTCTTTTCTGAACCAGCATGCAGAGCCATCCCCAACTACAGGTTCGTTCATGTTGCCACCATTTCTTTACAATGCTGTCAAGCCTGATCCAGGTTCTTCTAAACCGGATGACTCTAAACCTTGTCATGATGAAGATGGGGGTTCTGCTTGGTTCGTATTTAAACCACACATCAAATCGGGCCAACCTTCACTGGGAGATTTGGTAATTGAACACTTATTTCTTCGTTGGTGGAGTGCAATTAGAAGTTAAATTAGTGACACTGCATTGAAAAATATTCCATCTGGAATCTGTTGTTGTATTTCATATCTGGATTTATCAGAAATTAAGAGCGACATGAGATCTTTGTCTAAGTGAGAACTGAAGCCATGTTTGTCATTGAATAAAGAAACTATTGGTGTTCAATAACATTTATCAATTCAATCTAGTCTATGTAGATGTGGCAATCGTGCCTCATAAAGTGGAATGCTTTCATAACTGTTCTCAACAAAAATAAAGTTAACCTTTCCTCAAAAAAAAAAAAAAAAAAAACCTAGTTCTCAACAAAAATATCTTAGTCATCTGCCAAATTATTACTAAGAGTACAAACTGATATTGTTGTTTCCTAATGCACATGAATACTGCTTATATGATTCCTATCACTAACTTATTGTTAATAAAAACTTACCTTTCCATATCTTCACATACTGCAACATGAAAATGTGTAGAGCCTGTCACATGGCTATTCATGATAAAATGAGAAGAGTTCGTGCAAGTTCGCTTTAGTGGTTTTGGCAACTGTCCTTGAACGATTTAAGTTTATGAGATGCTACTCATTAATCTCCATGTATCCAGAAAAAAAAAAAAAAACAAAAAATCTTGGAGGTCACTAGAAGTGAGAAGGTGTTGATAAACTGTTTATGGTCTGATTAGTTCTACTCTTGATCATTCGTTGTTTTCTCTTGAGTTTTTGGTAAACTAGTAAAGCTTCCATCAAGGGAAAATGATTGGATACAATGGGATAAATACTACTGACGTTAACTATAGAATGGAGAAAATGATGCCACCATCCAACAGTGCGCACCCCCACTTTGATACACTGCTCTGATTGATGAGATCTCATGAACTCCACCTTCAAGTAAACTGATTACAGGCCATCAACATTTGGTTTGCCACTATACTTGTCAAACTGAAATTTTGCGTCACAACTTTGCTGAGTGCTGCAGGTCCATTCCCTTTGGATTTGGTACCTTTTGTGCACTCCATGTGCCTTTGCTTCTGACGTATAGGCTTCTTTGATGTTCTTGTGAGGGAGGGAGGGAGCGAGGGAGGCGGGAACATTTGTATTCTTTGTATTAGAAACCAAAAGAGAGAGAGAGAACCTTGTATTAATGGAATAGTAATCATATTGATGGTGATGACTCGGTATCATCCTTGCTTTTTTTTTTGGAATATTTCATTGCCCAATCTTATTGTGCCCTTTATTGCCACTTGGATATTTAGTTTTTATATTTGATTAGTGCCTTTTATTTATTTACTTTTTGGTCATTTTCTTTAGCATACCTATGGTATTTACCCCCTTGACATTTTCCTCAACAAATTTATAAGATGCATTCTAGGTTCCCCTTTGAGCATGATGGAGGCTGCTTTTTTTAAAAAATAACTTTCACCCAGATGTCTGTTTGAGGTGTTTCAAATTTCAAATTTCAAATTGCACATCTGTCTGAGATTTATGGTTACTCTCTCTAGGATTTACCTAATTCAGATGTTCGGCCTAAATCTTGGCTGAATGGAAGATGAAAATTTTCTTTTGTTTGAAGTTGAGAATAAAGTTTGCTTTTGTTTAAAGGTGTTGATTCCATACTAATGGGTTGATGCCTCTTTTTCATGGTTGAGCCCTCATTTTTGGTTGTGTTTATACCAACAAAATTTTAGTTCTCCAATTTGCATAAGGTTACCATAGAATTCTAGTTGTCATGTGGTGTTGACACCTTATACAAGTGCTGGTTTTTTCTTCTTCCTAGATCTTCTTTCTCTATTGTGTCACCCTACCAAAATGTTGTGGAAAACTGACCTCAGTATCCCAAAATCTCTTTCTAAACATAGGAAAACCAGCCCCTAACAAACCCTAACCATATACCTTCGATCAGTTTTTTCTACCTTGTAACCCAATCAAGATGTGTTTTTTCATCGTTGTATGTTGCTGGACCATTAAATTTCAGTAACCTTAACTTCTGTTAAAACTCTTTAATTCAAACCCAAACCATGGTTACCTGTTGCTTCCGATCTTGATTTGGTGATAGTCCTCCATGGAACTCGATTCGTTAAAGTTAGGAATCTCTTGCCACGTTTATAGAATCTTGATCCTTTTTTTATTTTCCTTTTTTCTTTTGAGATCCAGATTCCACAACATCAAATATTGTGGTTCATAGGTGTACAAAACAATGATTTAATCAACAAGGAATATTACTTCCAATTTTTATGAATAGCAATCTGAGCTATTTTGAATCCAGATTCGACAAAATTTTATTCTTATGTATATATATCGACATTCCCTAGTGGACTAGTCAAACATTCTGTTATTTAAAATTTATTATTGATTAATGTATTGGTGCCTAAAAATTCTGTGGCATAAAACTACTTAACATCTTTCCTAAATTTTGAGAACCCCAACTAAATATCTTTCTTTTTAAATTTTATTAATAATAAATCAAGTATTTTTACTTTCGTCATTCAATCTATAACCCTGGTAAACCTCAAATCTAATTTTAAGGCACTCGACCTTGATTCCAATTCCTGTTGGGAACCGTGATTATGGCCGTTCAATACATCAATTTCAGCACTAGGGGCACCCTTGTTCAGGTCTTGAGGACCGTCGAGGACCTCAATTCCAATACTCAAGGAATTGTTTCTAATGCTGAAGGATTATTGGTCAAGGATACTCTAGAACCTCAAACCTTTTGCCCTATGACACTCATTTCCTGATGATTCTCCGATGTGGTTCCAATTGGTTGGTTGCACGATATCCAAAAGGTAGGCACCTTAATACTCAATAGAGGCCATGGTGCTGATTCTTTGTTCGATAATACCCTTATTGAGACCTTCATTAAGTTGGATCAAATGGAGAAGGCCCTTGAATTGTTTGAGGAATTGGCTGAGAGGTGCTTGGTCTATGATGGTATAGTCCATGCTACTCTGATGGAGGGGTACTTTGGGAAGGGAGACGAGAAGTTGGCCATGGACTCATACAATTCCCTACTTGATAAGGGGTTCAAGATGAACGCCGCAACGTGCAATTCACTTTTGAAAGTGCTTTTGAAGTATGGGAAGTTTAAGGAGGCGAATGGGCTCTTCGAGCACATGCTATCAACCCATACCCCTCCAAACTTTCTATTCTCAGAAAGTATGAATCTTGATTCCTACAATATGCATTTTACGGACGATGCTTCCTACCATAGGAATCTTCTAGGCGCTCGTGATTCCACGCTTCCAATTCCTAAAAAGCTTAGCAACTATGCCCTTTACCTTAACCTCACTAGATCCTCCCCCGTAGACTTGCCTTAAGTGACCCTTACTCAATATAGGAGACTTCAATGCATTTAAATCCTTTTGTTCTAAACTTTGCAGGATGACGTGCACTTCTAGATTGCTTATCCTAACCCAATTAAATCTGGAAACGTACCTGAAAACTTTATTCTTATGGTCTCCTTGTGTGTTATACTTGTGGGGGAGCCAAGGCCTCGTGGCTTTCCATCAGAGCCCAATCTAAGAGAAGGCGACCTCTTCTTGTGAAAAAGAATCTTTCGTCTCATTTGAGTTAATTGGAGTTATTGACATAAGAGAAATTGTGGATGTAGTGACAAAATGAAAAAGGATAATAATCCACAATCCTCGCCCATCTCTGTAAGTGTTCTCTTATCCAAGGACCCTTCTTGGAACCAAGAATCCTGCATCTTAAGTTCAAGCACAATAAGCCTTTCAACTGCATCCTTTTCGTTTACTAACACCTGAAGAATCGTGCCCTTCCCCTCCCTAAGTTTTAGCTTAATCAATCTATTTCACTTATGGTTTCTCGTCCATGCCATGTAAAGAAAATTGGAGCTTTGCACATTGCTCTTGTGAGATTCTAAAATGTCATTTGTATAAATTTCATTTGCATGTGCAAAAATGGATGAATTATGCCTTTTGACATAAGTAACTTAGCTAAAAAAATAAAATGCTTTTTGACACAAGTGACTTAGACACAAGTCCCTCGATTGTTGGGGTTTGTGGGCTTTAAAGGCAGTGAAAGCATGTAAAAAGACATTTATAATGGATTATACACTTCAATGGGAGTGTGTATTGTTTGACTGACCAAGGTTTAGGCGGTCTATGGTTTTGGTCATGTCCAAAACTCTTACCTTTAGGCATGTGGCACTATCGATAAAGGTTTACTGAGGGTCATACCTTGTTGAGGTCGGAGAGATGCCCAGGGATGGTTTATGGGCCAGGAGAACTGAGTGGTCTTCTATGTGCGGATGTAGGCTTGTAAGAGCAAAAGCTAAGTCCTTAAGAAACTTTCATACGACTTGTATATATGACAGCCGCATTATCGGGAAGTAACTTTGAAGAGGGATACGTGTACATGTGCATAGAGAAGAGGGTCCTTTTGCACTATAGTGATTTGTGCTTGATTAGCTCTTGGGTTGTTGGATTGTTCAGGGGGGTGGGGGGAAGAGGCGGTTGTGATCCACATTCCAGGATTGTGGTTATGTTGTTTATTGGTCAACTTTGACGAGCTGATCATGAGGCCCTGCATGAGACTGTGGGTCATGAGTTTCATTGGGTTGGTTTGAGAAGACAGTTGTGGACCATGTTCATTGGTTCAAGTGGAGTGCCCTTATAGTCAATTCAATATAAGAAATGTTTTTGTGATCTTTAGAAAATTTTCAGAATTTTTAAAATTTATTTCTACTGTAAAATTCCTTAAAATGGTATCTTTGATACTATGAGAATAAGCAAAGGGCACATGTGGGGCCCTTGGATCTAGCCCCATGTGTGCCACACCCCATGGGTGGGGCGTGGGGCCCATGGGACAGCATGTCACCCATAGGTGCTGGCATGCTCCACTCTCTCTCTCTTCTTTTTTTTTTTTTAAATTTGATGGATACATAATGTTTTAAAAGAAAAGAATTTTAAAAAGAAAAGTTGTCCTATTTTTGTAGGAGTGAGTTTGACCATAATATTATCTTTGATTTCCTATAGTTTTGAAAGAGATATTAGGAAGTTCTAAAAGGTTTTTAAATTGGTCTAATCCTATTTGGACTAGAAGTGGACGTGGGTCAAATATTAAAGGGATAAAGTTCCTAATATTCCTCCTTAAGTCATGACGGCTGATTTGTGGAGTAGATGGCTGAAATTTACTCTCTCCCTTCTCTCCAAAGTGGCACACTACCCATAAGAAAGAAAATATGGGTGGCACGCCAAACCCTAATTAGGGTTTGTGAAGAGAAAAGAGTGGTACGCCCAGCCTATGAGGGTTTATGCCTTCATGATATGTTGTAATTTGAGAGGTATTGCCTAGACAAGCTTCCTAGCTCCGAAATTCCAGCACGACCGATAGGATCAAAAGTGCTGTGCCATCAGTCAGGAAATCAGGTATGGAGTGTACCGAGTGCTATGGGGGTAACCCTAGGCACGATCGAGTAAGTCTTCCAAGCTGTTTAGTTTTATTTTTCAGTCTTATTTGCATATTTGTTCTATATTTTTAGGAACATTAATTTTACTTAAATTGATAGTAGAAGCTTGGTTTTTATTCTTGGATTGTGTCTACTCAGTTTGGCAGAAAAAGAAGAAGTCCTAGGTTGTATTTAGGGTTTTAATTTTCCATTATAGCAGTGTATTGTGAAACTTGTAAGTAGAATTCATATTCAATAATAAAAAAAGAAGATTTTTTTTTTTAAATTTTATAGCCTCAAATTCTACAAAGCCACATCTTTCATTGAGGCATTGTTTCCTCATTCACTGAGATGATTGAAGAATGAGTCGATACATCTCACTAGATTGCAGACCCAAGTCAGGCAAATTACTTGGCTTGGTGAGACTTCAGTGATTTGCCCAATGTTTACATTGGCTTGTCTCACTGGCTCGAGTCATATGACCTGGCAAGCTGTGCTTATTGTTTTTCCTATTTTTTGTTTCTAGCATAGGCCACAAATTGTTCATCAGTTTTGCATTATATTATAGCTGAATGGATACATGGATGTTGTTTTAGGAAGAATATTTCTTCTTGGATAATGTGTGATTGGCTACTAGATTAGGAGCGAAAATATTCTATACTGTACCTTTTTTCGCTTGTTTGACTTAGCCTATCTGTATATGTATTTCTCTACATTCATGTATTGGCATTGTGCACTTGTCGAAATGGGAATTATATGAATTTCCTTTTTTGATCCCGAAGATGATAGTTCAATTCATCATCTCCCATATTTCTTTATAAATTTCATTTGAATATTATTTCCAAAGAATTTTATTTTTCTTCAATTTATAAAGCCTTCAACTGGGTATAACGTGGCAAAGTTTAGGTTCGTGATCTTTGATCTGAATTTAGGCACAAAACCTTACTTTAAATGTTGATTTATGAATGGGAATCTTTTCGTGTTCCCACAGGAACACCAAAACATGCTTCCCCACTCCAAAAAAACACTTATGAAGTGGGTGATTGACCCATAAAAGATTCAAACCAGTCTCCTCCCTTCTGAAATAATCTCTGATTTTTTTTGGATTTAGCGCTCCAACAATGCTACAACCCTATTGCCACTCCAAAATCTGATTTAGGCTGTTTGTTTAAATGGATGGTGGATGAAAGGGATTAGGAGTGGCGAATCAAATCTTATTTCAAGGAGCATGATTAGGAGCTTTTTCAAAATATTCCAAGCCTCCACTCCCCGAGATTCAGGTCTAGTCTATGGATCTTATGAATTTAGAGTTTTTTTTTTTCTTTTTTTCCATTAATTTTTTGAAGCTCAAAATCGAATGTTATTCTGAAGGTTGGTGTGGTTTGGAGATATTTCGGTGCTTTTCTGGGTCCCTTACCTGCCTACCTCAAAAGTGGTTTCAAAGTTGTGGAGCACCATCTTAAGTGCTTCTGTAGGAACACAAAGGGTTTTCCCTTTATATATTGAAGGCCAATTGTACATGTGCAAAAGCATGGGAATAAAGTTTTAAATGTGAACAGGTAAACTCAAACAATGTGAAATGCTAAAATGAATGCCTTTGCCTTGATTAGAGGCATTACTAGATGTATGTTAGCAGACTGGTATACTTGTTTTTCTTATGTTCTGTTGTTTGAGATTTTTTTTTCTTTCTTTCTAACGTAGATGTAGTTAGTTCCTGTGCAGTAGGTTGGCTTGTGATTGCCTTTTCAATTTGTAATTTTTCTTAAATCTATTGTAATTCATGAAGGCCTCTTCTAGCACAAACTACCAGCAATGCGAAAAGCTCTCACAAGTCCAGACACAATCGCTCACTTCTTCCGTCGATGTAACTTCTGCCAAGAATGAGCATGTAGCCCTCACTGAACATGAACTGAGCCTCTCTATTACCTCTCCAACGCTCCCGTCCCATATGGCCTCTTCCCAAGTTAATGGTTCCAATGGAGTTTCTTCTGAGGAATTGCAAGCCCGACAATGTTCTAGTAGTGGAATTCAAAAAGGATCAAGCCCACTGACTGTTGTAGAGAGGTCCTCAGAAGATGGGTTTAACTGGCGTAAATATGGTCAGAAACAGGTTAAGGGTAGTGAGTTTCCAAGGAGCTATTACAAGTGCACATATCCCAACTGTCAAGTGAAGAAAATAATGGAGCGCTCTCTTGATGGAAGGATTACTGATATCAACTATAAGGGTCAGCACGATCATCCTAAGCCCCAGCCAAGCCGTCGATTAGCTGTTGGTTCTGTTCAAGCTATCCAAGAAGGAGAGGAAAGATCTGAACTATTTCGTTCTTCTATCAATGCCGAAGGTATGTAATAAATTTGGTCAGCCTTTATGGTGATTTTTCTTTTCTTTTCCAGTCAAACAGTAGCAACAGATGGTTCTTTGATATCCTGCAGATAAATCATCAAATGCCCAAGGACAGTTCTGTAATTATATGGATCCAAATGGTACCCCTGAGCTATCATCTGTCTCAGCTAGTGAAGATGATACCGAAAGTGGCAGTGTCCAAGCTAATAAGACTCGCGATGAAGTTGAGGATGATGATCCTGAGTCAAAACGCAGGTCCTTTCTGTTTAATTGATCAATATTGTCATTAGGGAAAGTATATGTTAGTACATTGACTACGGAGAAACCTTAGTCCACTGGGTCATTGCCATCCATTGACACGACGGAAGGTGATGGAGAGAGATTGAGACTGACCGGAACCGGGCGTGAACTCCGATTGGTTGCATTCTCTCTCCATTGCCATCCGTGATTTTGGTTTATGGTGATGAGAAAGCATAGTCCATTGCACTATGTTATACTTTCTCTTGTGATTAATGATTTGTGTATGAGATGGTGCGCCGGGATCTACTAATGCAATTGTCACCATTGATGAAACAGGAAGAGGGAATTTAGTGCTGTTGATTCTGCATTACTCTGCAGATCAACCCGTGAGCCACGTGTTGTTGTTCAAACTACAAGTGAAGTTGATATTCTTGATGATGGGTACCGGTGGCGTAAATATGGGCAGAAAGTAGTGAAAGGAAATCCTAATCCAAGGTACGAAAATTCTGGGTTGTATGTGCCTGTGTTACCATCTTTTGATTGGCTTACCTATGTTTGCTTGGCCCAACAAGTTTCTTGTTACTTTCTGTGTGAATAATATCAACATGTAGTAATGTGCTCACATGTATCAATACATGTTTTCAATTGTAAGACCGATTATAAGTAGTGGCTATTGTAAGAGTAGGTTCTAACTGCCAGTCCAAAACGGAAACTAGTGAATAGGTGGGCATTCCGGTAATTTTGAACCTCCTGAACCAGAAAACCCATCTAACTGGTGGACTCGCTGGTTGACCATCCAGATTGAATTAGCCGGTCAGGGGTAAAAAATAACAAAAAGAAGACCATTTTCTTTATTTGTTTTGGGGCATTTTTCATCATTTAGGTGCGCTTTTTGTTGTTTTGAATTTCTTGAGGGGTATTTTGGTTGTTCTTATTATTTGGGAGGGATTTTTGGGCCTTGGTTTTTTACTTTTTTTATTTGGGAGGGGTTTGGGGGCTTAAAAAATAGCTTTTTTGAGGGAGGGAGGGAGGGAGGGAGAGATCTATTTTGGTGTGATTTTACTCTCCCTTTTTCTCTACCAGATAAGCCCAAATCCTTGTAGGAATTTTCAGCAACTTATGGAGAGGAACCAGCCCATCATTCCACCCCATTTTAATCCCCAATTTCATTACATTTTCTTGATTTCTTTGTTTTATATCTAGAAATATAGAAAATGAACTGGTTTTTTAAGGTTTTGCAAAATGTGAAATTTTTTTTTTTTTTTTATCTTTTATTTTTCCAAATCAATGCAATAGGTTATCTCTTGTATTCAATTTAGTGGTGGTTTTTTCTTTAGTAGTTTAATGTTGTAGGTTTTTTCTTATTTGGTGGCTTATGTGTGTCTTTCTGTGTAAATATTAGATTTTTTTGAAACTGTTAACTTTGTTGAAAGAGAGAGCAAAAAATAAGCATCCCACAGCCTGGGTGCTCTATACAAAACCCCACAGGATGGTGCTCTATACAAAGGGTGAGCTATTTCTCAAATTCTATACATCCATATCACTAACTGAATTATAGGTACAAAAACGTACAAGGAATGGATGGCAATGACCCAGTGGTTTTTGTTTAAGCGCACTAAATTTTCGTGCATCACTGGTTTTAAAATGCCAGTGGTCAATGGATGGTAATGACGTTTCTTCATGGTACTATGGAGAAACAAGTAAATAAATTTAAGTGCATCAAGTTTGTGAATTTTAAATTGAAAAAAAATGAAATTTCCTTAAATTTCCTGACCGACTCTCCAATCTTTGCGCTCTGTGTGAATAGATGCCTCCAATCTCTATCAAAGCTTCCTTAGACACCCCAAGTTGAAACCCCCAAACCAGTTTTACGATTCAAGTTTTGACCTAGCTGATTTAACTGGCGAACAGCATATCTGGAATTAGAAACACAATCTCAGAGATTTGTGTTTTTTCGTCAAGAAACTAGCCTATGATTGGATGAAAACCACAAAAAATAGGCTTAGGGAACAAATTTCATTGAAGATTACCAATCGTTGCCCAGAAATCACGATTTTTCAATATTGGTTTAACCCTAGATTGAAATCATCGATCTTTCTAATCCATCAAATTTGTCGGTATTTGCTCAAATCATCTATCTACTTGATAGATTATGCAAAAATATCTGTGGCCAAAATTTGGGCTGAAATTAACACATCTATGATAAAAAATGAAGAAACTTACTGGCTGGGCAACTCCCTGAGCCTGAGCAACCAATAGAAGTGTCTCATACGGAAAAAGCACATTGATTGATGAAGTTAACTTTCAGGTTGACCATGACCTTGTGACCTCCTAAATGACCATGACCTTGTGACCTCCTAAATGACCATGACCTCCTAAATCATCCTCGCTCTTGATCGATAAACCTTTTTGGTCCTCCATACTTACTGACAATTTATGGTTGAGTTTTAGTGAATCCCTTCTAAATATGTTCTTTCCAGCTTTACATATCTTCTTCATTTTTTTTTTTGGTTTATATTCCATTTCATCTCTCTATTCATTGTTTATGAGACAGGGAGATAGGTCTGTCTCAAGAACCTGAACCTTTAAGACCCCAAAAAAGTATCTTCAAGGGACCACACCTTATTATGTCACCTTAAGTGCCCCCTAATACTATCCATATCCACATACTTCCGACATTGTTCCCATATATGCTATTATAAAATGGATCTCCTTGGCCATTTTCTGTTGCAACCCTTCTTGTATGTTTGATTCATCAGTTTTGGTCGCCCTAACAAATTGTAAAGATTTCTTGCTTCCTTTCTTGATATGGGGAAGAGCGACTTCCCAAGTGTTGTGGTGCTTTCCAATCATTGGTCGGTGTCAGACTCACGTAAGTATGTTTAAACAAGTATGCTTCTTTGATAAAAGAAGTGATGAAATAAATAGAATCTTCAAGTGGAGAAAGGAAAACAAAGGGCTTTGGGAACTAAGAAACTTGGGAATTTTCGAGAAAGAGATATGTGGCTTCGTTTAAAAAAAAAGGAAAGGTCCATGAGCTGCTACAATTTTGCTGTGAATAGCATAGCATGCAGGAAGAAGACAGATCATTGAAGATAAATAAGTCACAGGTAACTTTAATTAGGTTTTCTAAGGGGTCTTTGGGGCGAAAATTGTATCTTATGCTTTTAGATAAGTCATCCTTTCCTCTCAAAGGCTGATGTTGCTTTTAACGTACATTTTTGTTTTTAAGTTTTTTTAAATCTTAATTTTAGATGAACAGCAATCAGTCGAAAGGTACGACCTTCTGGTCTAGTGCAATCCATTGTACAGGGCATAGATTTCCTGCATATTTTAGAACACACTAGGTTGTAGTTTAGGGCTTATGCGAATGTTCAGATTTCCATTGCTTGTGAAAGAGATAGATGACTTTTAAAATTTGGAAAACTAGTTTTTACTTGATATTTTAAAGACCATAGTGATTGTTTTTCTTGCCTATATTTAGGAGTTTGGTGGGCTGGTTAATCTCGTTAGGGCATGAAAGATACTGGGTAGCAATTTATGAGCAGACTTTGGGAAGTGGCACTCAGAGGATTAAAGATAGGAGAGTTGTCCATGGCGAATAATTATGAGAAGGTGAAGAATCTTTCTGATGTCCTAATTTTTAAGTGACGGGACATAACTTAATGCTGTAACTAAGGAGAGTATAATTGGATCAGGCAGTTGCTATTGTTTTTTCTAAGAATGTTAACATTGTATTAAATGTACAAAATGTACAAAGGAATAAGGGCTATACACATCCAAAACATGAGACTCCCCTTAGGGGAGCCCTATACAAATACAGGGGATCAAAGGAATGAGGCAGTTCGCCAAATTGAGGTGATTACTGAGGCTGCAAGAAATTCCTCAGTCACTTGAGTATTAGCACCTTTTTTGGCAAGTGAGTCTGCGTGTGATTTACTTTCGTGCCAAACATGTTTCCAAGAAATCGATAGGCCTGCACAAAGGTGAGCAATTTCTTTGAAATTGTATGCTAGAGACCAGGGATAGGGGGTGGAGGGCCAGCGAATTACGTTGTGTGAATCACCTTCCACGATGAAGATGGAGGACCAGCTATGGTTGAAGAGTCTAAGGCCTTCAAGGAGTGTGTTAGCTTCTGCCGTTTGGCAGTCGAAGTGTCCAATAGGTTTGGAGTAGGAAACTAGGATTTCACCCTCGTGGTTCCTTAACAAGCCACCGATATCGGCCGGCCTGGGGTTGCTAAGGGAACACCCATAAAAATTCAGCTTGATGGCACCAGGGTTAGGAGGAATCCAATGGGAGGCTCGGGGAACCCTAGGGCGCGAAAGATGGAGGAGTAGCTAGTCTTGATGAAAGGCCTAGTGATGGATACCCTTGAAGAGTTAATGTTTAGAGGCCCAAAAAGTCACCATAAATTTGATATTGTCAAACAAAATTGCGGTAGACTTGTATTGTCTTTGGAAGAGGCTACGATTGCGCTCGATCCACACAGTCCAAAGGAGCGTGAAGTTTGATGCCTTCCAAAGGAGAATGCCAGGTCTAGGCCAAGGGTAGGGTTGAAGGGAATAAAAGAGGCGGATGATAGATTGGGAGGGTGGGGATGTTTTTAACATTGAATTATAATATATAAGAGGTGTGTGGGGCCTCGAGAGGGTCAATTCCACATGATTTTTAGAAATTAAAAAACAGAAAAACTTAGGCTTTTGGAACCCTAGCTTGGAGTGTGGAGAAGAAACCTTAGGTTTCTTTGAATTGTGTTGGTTTTGGCATAGTTTCTTTTCGATTTTACTGTTCCCCCAAATTTCCCTGCATCAAAGCCTAAGTGAGAACGGATGAGAGAATAGGTGGAGGGGTCCCAAATACCTCCCGACGCCCCTGCTGCCGGCAAGGCCACCCATTAGCATGGCCTTCGCCCCCAAACATGTCTGACTTGGACTAGGGAAGGTGTAGGAAGCTTCGTTTCAAAGAGTGCTAGGAGAGCCAGTGAATGGTGGGTGATGTCACGGATGGCATTGCGCTTTGTTGGGTTGCTGAGCTCGTGCACATTACAAGACAATATTAACGTGATGAAGGGGGAGGGAGCGGTAAAGCTCGCCTATTCGAGTGTCTTCAAGGAGATCCCCCCCAAGGAAGAAGAGGGAGGGTGAATCGACGACCCCAGATCGGCTGGACTATTGTAGTTGATTCCAAACACCAGGTTTGAGAGTTCACAGTTGCCTTTCCTGGTGGCCTTGAACTGAGGGGCGTTGTCTTGGGCCTGGTCAAGTGCAATAACGAAGTTAGAGCCCACGAACATGGGTGAAGCAGAGGGTGAGATGGATGAGGAGGTGGTGAGGGGAGAGAAGTAGAAGAGAGAGGGGGGGTGGATAGGGAGGGGAGAGGGGGGAGGGGGTGGGGATGGGAGATGTGATGGCAGCGAGGTAGCACTAGGAAGTGGGGTGGATAACGAGGGCTGGGATAGGGGTACAAATAAGGGTGGGGTAGGGGATTGGGGGTCTGGATGGGTGGGAGGGGATAGGAACTCCAAGGATTGGCGGGGAAGGAAACAAAGGAGGAGGGAGGGGGGATGTGGTGAAAGAGGAGTGGAGGAGGGACCAACTGAGACTTGGAGATGGGCTGGGACCAGCCAACCTGAGAAGGTGGGACAAAGACTTGGAAGGAAGGGGGCACGCAGGAGGGCAAGGAGGGGGAGAGTACGAGATTGTGTTGCTTATCATGAAGGGGTTTGGTTCTTGCATGAGAGGGGAGCCACAGTGCTTTGGGGGAGTTGGTGCTGAAAGGGGGCAAGACTTGAGCAGAGCAGCTTGTTAAGCCGTTGGCAAATGAAGGGCTGCTGGAGTCGATGGAGGTAGAGAGAAATTGGTGGTTTCCAGAACATGGACGAAGTTGCAGCAGTTCTTCAAAAAGAGGAGGGGCTGCCTTGGGCAAGGATTGGGGTTTTGATTGAGAAGGGGGTGCAATGGACTAGGGGGATGGTCACAGCCGCTGGGGTGAAGTGGGGTAGAGAGGGAGCTGGAGCTTCAGAGACGAAGGAGGGGGCTGGTGAAATGCTGAGGTCAAATGGGAGTGATGTGGTGGAGTGTGATGGATAGGAGAAAGGGTGGGGGGAGCTTCTGAGACATAGTAGAGGAAGAGAAGGGGTAGAGCTGAGGTGGGGGTTGGTTGGTCTTAACGAGAGGGGAACCAAGGGGGCAAACGGCTGAGATAATGCAAGGTGGGTAGGGAGGAGTGATGGAAGGGGATGTAGCCTCGGATGACATGCCGGTGGAGGGCTGCAGTGGATGGGGCCCCATCAAGGTGGTGATGTGTCCAAGCAAGGAGCGAGAGGGGTCAGCGTGGTAAGAGAGCCAGGGAATTACACGATGGTGAGAACCAGCTAACCCACGTGAGGGTGGCTGCATGTCGGGGGTAGTTGAGAGGGATCAGGGGTAGGGAGACACGTGGTGGGAGTTAGTGAGAGTGTGACTTGGGAATTGGGATGGCTGGATGAAGGAGAGAGGTAGAGTGGGGGTGGTTCACTTGGATAGGGTTTTGGGTTACCCTTTGAGCGGTAGGATTGGGCGATGGATGGTTGCGATGCAGTAGAGGCTTACGACGGTGAGAGACTCTGATCCATTGCTTGGGGTCCAAGGTTTCACTGGTGCAAGGCTCTCCCAGGCGGAAATAGAGAGGGAAGGGGGGCGACACCGGTTGCCACGCGTAAAGGATCCATGCGTGAAGGGGAATTTGGAAGAACTTGATCCAAATCCTTTGAGGCTTAAACGCTCCAAGGTCCAATGACCAGGTGGGAAGAGATAGGGTCGCTCCTTTGAACTTCTCATCGGGGCAACTAGTAGTGAAAGATACAATCTGTCGAGGGGAAGAGGAATAGGATTTTTCCCGATGAAAGCCTCGTACAACAAAGGTCTGGCATTTCCCAGAGTCTTTGAGCCCACTTCTCAATGCCGCGAAAGTCGTCATGGTGAGGAGAGAAGGAACCCCCGAGCGCAATGGAAAGCTTGGTGGAGCAAGCAGGGTCATGGAAGCCAACTAGTCAACTAGATTCATGACAGGAAGTCGAGGGAGTAAGGGGGATGTGGGGGGGGGGAGGGGGGATGAGAAGAGATGGGTTGGGGGTGAGGAGGAGGAGAGGGAGCGGCCACAGAGTGAGCAGGTGGAAAAGTAGGGGCTGTTTTGAGGGGATGAAGAGGTGAGCGTAGGAGGAGTAGAGGGAGGAAAGGAATCACTTGGACGGCTCCCTAGCTATTGGGGAGTCATGAGAGGATTTTCCTGCCAATTATTCATCGGAATTTAAGTTTTTCAAGAAATGGTTATGGTGCCGTTCTCTATTGTTTAATTCTTAATATATGTTTTTGGGCTCTTATTGGCCATTTAGGGCGAATATTTATTGATGGCTTGTAAACATATCTTGCAGAGAATTTTAAAACTTGGATCATTTGCAACCTAGGCACAATGTTGTATGAAGTTTTTCATTGGACTTCTATGGCATCATACGGGGTTCAGCCAATGATCTTGATGGCAGAATGTCACTAAAATATCATGTGAAAAAATTTCCTAATGTACATTCATATATTTTATCAAAACGGATCAATCTTGTTTCTTTGCTCTCATTGCTAAAACGATCACAGTTGTTGTTGAACTGGTAACACCGAGACATTTGTGTGCCTTATCAGGCTTGAAGAACTCCCATGTGCTTAAATTGATGCGTGTGTTGTTTTGTCATGTACAGCAAATGGATTATCTATCCAAGAAACTTGGGAAAATAAGGTTAGAAGTTGTTGCATTTGGAGTGAACATGGAGAAGGGACAACTAGATGATCTCGAGAGAATAAACCCAAGTGGAGGAAAAATAGATGAGGATAAAGTTTTCAAATATATCATAATGATGGGGAGTGCATACATGAGGGAATGCATTACAACTACTTACCTTTTCCTTTGTATAACAAAATAATAGTAGTATCATCATCAGAGGCTTTTTCGAACTATTTGGGGTCAACTTTACGAATCCTGGGCTGTCATTTTGCTCTATCAAGGGCTGTACCCTCTGTGAGGCCATGAGTCCCCATTATCTTTTCTTATTACTTCCAACCACGTCTTTTTGGGCCTACCCCTTACCTGTTTTGAGGCTTCTACTTGAACCAACTCGCACCTTCTAACAGATATTGTATTAGGTCTGTACTGCACGTGCCCAACCTATCTAAGTCTACTTTCCCTTATTATTGCCCATGGAGCCACACCTAAGTTCTGCCGAATGTATCATTTCGAATTCTATCCCTTTTTGTTTTGTCACTCATCCATCGCGACATCCTCATCTCATCTCAGCTCCACTCATCCTATGGTTATGTTGTTTCTTGATGTGGAAATTTATAAAGTTTATTGTGCTCGTCACAATTGGGGTTGTTGACCCAAGGATTTGCAACTAAAAATGATAATGAATATGGTTTGGATTCATATTAAAAAGATTCACTCCTGGATTAACGTTTTGAGTTAGAGACATATCTTGATGTGTTTGGTTGTATGGTTATTGATAAATATACATGAGATATTTGCATTATACTTGATTTGAGATTTGGTTTGTCTTCCAATTAATGGAGTTGCAGAGATGGGCTTTGCACATCCTTGCTCATTTTAACATAAACAGCAAAACCCTAAAATTACTTTAAAAAAAAGTCCAAACCTGAAAATTTATTAAATTTCGTGAAATTTATCGAACTACACCTATGATTTGAACTACTTAACGTCCTATCCGCACTTCTTTATCTCAAATTCCCCATCATTCTTTTGATGAAATTTCAAATAACCCATATGACACATCGAAATGGGTTTTGAAATTCATCAAAATACACCTGGGGTAAAATGTTTAATAGTTCAAATTTTAGGTATGTTTTGATAAATTCCGTTAAATTATTTAGGAAAATTTAATTTTAATTACCTATAAATAAAGGCATAATTTTAACCTTAATCTTTTTTGAGTTCTAAGTTTGAAAGCTGCCTCCCATTTCATTCTTTTCTATGTTTAATTGAAGTTATGTTTTTTGGTTGATACTAATGCTTTTGTTGTTATACATCCGCACTCGAAAAATTTGAAGTTAAACCACATAGACCTTAGTATTTTGTGAACATACGTGAACACGCGTGTGTGTGTGTGAGAGAGAGAGGTGGTGCACATCAATGGTTCCCACTATTTAGATGAAGTATTAGATGTTCTACTGTATAGGAAAATTTTGCATCTGTAGAACAATGTGGGTGAGAATGAGGTACATTTTGGGCAATATGCAGTTGCTTTGCATTCACGTGACACCCAGGAAAAGATCCAAGTAATTGCACATGAATTTCTTCTCTAGCATTAGATGATTTAGAGACACGCATGCATGCTATATATTTCGTGTATGCGAACTACTCATGTATATATATACATACATTTACATGTACAAATGTCCGTCTAATTTTACATGCATCTCTATTACATACGTAAATACTGCACATTTTCATGATGGTGAGTGTGGGCATGTTCCGCGTACATGTTTTGCATGCATGTGTATCTCACCCTTTTTCTCTTTATTTACTGTATGAAAATGTGTTGCAGGAGCTACTACAAATGCACCAATGCTGGGTGCCCTGTAAGGAAACATGTGGAGAGGGCATCCCATGACCCCAAGTCGGTCATTACCACATACGAAGGCAAACATAACCATGATGTACCCTCAGGACGGGCAAACACCTCCGAAAACACGTTTTCCGCAATAAGCCATAGTCCACCTACGCCCAATTCTCACCCTTTAGCTCCTCAAAATTTAATCTTGGGACCAACCACTACTAACCAAGCTGAGGGAACAAAAATATCATACTACGATCATTCAGTCAGTCTAGATTTAGGTGTTGGGGTGGGCCCCGGTTTGGACAACAGATACCTTGAGAAGCTTAGAACGCTGGATTCTGCAACATCCTCGATTCAAATTGATGGTCTAGAAGTTGGTAAAGTAATTCAAGCAACCCCGATTTCTTCACTTCAAGGTGGTGGGAGTGAGGTAAGAGAGGGGGAGCCTCATAATGCTGTAGAGAAGAGAAAGAGTTTCACTTTTGAAACACCAAAGCCAGTCTATGAAGCATCGGGCCCATATTATCAAAGCATGGGGAGATTACTACTGGGTCCATGAGCTTGTGTTTCTTTTTAATTGCAGGGTAACTGGTTTCTCACATGCATTATCAGGATGGAAGATGTTTACTCTGTTTATCAGTCAAATAAAAGTCGAGGCCCAAATCTTCGAGAGGCAAGTATATGTTGTAAATTATTGAATCTAAATTGCTTCCGCTGCCTGAAGAGCAAGCAGTGGATGCTGTATCTTATGTTGAATGTTATAATGTTATTAGCCACATTATTTAATGTGTGTGTGAGAGAGAGAGAGAGGCGAAGTGCAATGCGATGGTCCCATTGGCATTGCTTGTTGGTTTAGTTATTAGAGATTTGATGCTCCATCGACTCATGCACTCGTGTTGAGAAGGTGAGTCAGAATTGTTTTAAAATAGAATGGTTCAAGCCTTTCGACCATGTTGTAACAGAAGAAAGGCTTCTCCTAAGAGGACCATTCGAAACACGTTATGGATGGTTATGGATGGGTACGCTGTTGGTTATGTCAAGGAAACTTGATAGGGGTTTTTATGATACATGCTTTCGATAAAAGTCTGATGTTTTCCTTCATGTTTTGGGAATGGTTTCTCGAAAGGCCCCATTTTGTGAATATTGATAATTTCCACACTTGGTTCTGATTGATTCAAGTGGAGCTAATGCTGATGTGTTGTAGCTAATGCTGATAATTTCAGCGAGGGAAAGCTGCTCCTTCACATGGGTTGACATCTCGCTTATCCAACAAATGAAGAATTATTTTGCATGAGGCAATTAGGTGAAGAGGGTACCTGACTTGGCTTGGTTGCAGCTTGTTGCAGGCCCTCCCTTTGTATCGTCTTATATGGTGATATTTTTGCACCATCTGGATTACCAAAGGGGCCTGTGAATTATGCACAAATGTGTTCAAAGTATTCCCACAAAAGAGTTTGTTATATGTCGAGTGGTTGTTTCGCTGGTGGAGGATGGAGTTTTAAGAGATTGATTCATCTTACTGTCCATTTGGCAAAGGGTTGGCTCATGATGCGCTGTGTATCATACTGGACGTGCCACATGCGCATTGTTTCTTTTACTGTGAAAATATCAGAATTGATATGAACTGTATAAAAGCTGCCTCATAGCTAGGAGTGTCAAACGGCTTGGGTTAGCGACCTGGATTTGGGTTGGGTTAGCCCAACCCAGGTCTACCCTAAAACTGAATCTTGGGAGTTGGGTCCTTATTCTAGATCCTGGATCCCTGACCTAAAACAATGGGCCCTTATAACTGGTGTTATGTATCTCTCTTCCCTTCCTGATCCATGAACTTGCACAACCTCCAATCTGAGAACAAATAAACAAGAACCCATTTGCAATCGCCACAAGTTCTCTCTTCCCACCATGAATGGCTCACTGCAGACACCACAAGTTTATTCTCTTGCCACCATGAATGGCTCTCTGCAATCACCACTCTCGTCCCGCCATGAATGGCTCTCTGTATTTTTTTTATTTGAATTACAGGTTCTAAGAATTCTAAATTTCCCCTCCTATCTACAATTTTCAGATTTGTAAGTATCACAATTACTCACCTCATACAAATAACCCCCACTTCCAATTCCTCTCACCATGTACCAATAATCCCACTTTCTATTAGGTTTCAAGAACCCTCTTGTATGCATATACATGAACACCCAAGTATTGCATCCTACCAAGATCATGTATTTAACCAATTAGAAATAAAATGGGTGAGTACAAACTATAATTCGATCATGATAAATAAAACATAAAATTCACGTCACGCGAGAACACATATTTATGTAGTTCATCCCAAAAAATGGCTACATCTACGGGTACGACAAATTGAAAATTTACTAATTGATGAGAATATATCACAAATTTTGAGATATAGTTCCCTCTTTAACCCTTGACAAACATCATTGGAGCAATCCTTTTAAATCAGCTCCGGTAAGTCCCATCTAACATTAGCTATCAATCTCATATCTCTCCCTATTCTATAGCTTAATTGTTTTTCGAGAAGAGAACCTTTGAGAGCAATTGAGACTTTCTTTTTTTTTTATTCTATACATGCAAGGTTATGAAATAGGAATCCATGCCAGGATTTCTATGGGCAGGTGTTAAGCCCACGTATAGCAGGCTTTCTATGGGCCGGTGATATTGCCTATCGCTGTCTCATAACTGTTTCCCTCTTCTTGATCTGTGCAATCTCCAAATCTTTACTGCAAATCTTAACACACCCAACATTCTCCATTGGTTAGCACCTCATGTATAAATTGCAAACTCCAACAAACCCAACATTCTCCTTTGATTTACATCTTCATTATTCAAGATTTCCGAACCAAGCTCTATAAAACCCATCATTCAGTTTGCAATCTTCAAATCTGAATCACAAGTTCCAAAAAAGACCCAACTTTATCCTTCCATTTCCTGAAACTCAGATCTACCCATCGATCCCTATCTTTGCCTTCTATCTCGATCCCAATATCCCAAAAGGACCAATCCTAGAGGGCCAAAACAAAAGGCCACAACTAAAAACAGTGGTCAAATACATATTTCTTCTCCTTTAACCATTCTCATTTTAGTCAGTCTCTTGAGACCAAATTGGACATTCAGAAACATAATTGTTCCCGGATCAAAATCCAGGCCCTGGAAACCATCCCAGGTTTTGGATCCCCTTTGAGGTAACCAGGTCGGGTCTAGGGGATGATCCGACCTGTTTGCATCCCGACGTAGGAGGTGAGTTTAGAAGCACGAAAAAGTTGTTGATTGATTCTAAAGGAGCTACTTTCCCACCACCATTGCTGCCCAGGGTGCCATGGCAGAGCCCCCAGTACTGACAGGAAGGCTGGAAGGGTCAGGCATTTTGTGTGTGTGTGCATGCGTGTGTGTGTGTGAGAGAGAGAGAGAGAGAGAGAGAGAGAGAGAGAGATTAACACCTATGGCAGTGGCGATGAAGCCAGCAGGAAGAGTTTGAGACTTTGATTTTACCCCAATCCACCAAAAGAAAAGAAGGATAAAAAACAGTTCAGAGTGTATAACAATAATGTACAAAAGCAGGCCATGAAAAATGAATAGATGATTGATCTATGAAAAGAACTGCGACTTCCAACAGTGATACATGTAAAATGTTTCTTAAAGAAGCTCAAAATTCTAAACTAATGCTACTGACTCAAATTGGTTGATTACATATTTGGATACTGAGTGAAAGGGAATCACCTAGGAAGTCCAAAAACGCGTCGGACACATGAGATCTGCCGCTCAAAGTTTAATCACATAGAATGCCTACAAAGCATCTGCTGCCGACCCAAAAGGGATGCAGTAAAGACACCAAGAATGCACCCAATTCATTCAAACCACATCAGTAAATTACCACAAAACAAGGAAGAATGGCCTGAGGATTGTTCACATACAGCTCATCACAGTTGGAGCACCCTACCATTGAATCGAACCCATAATGAGTCCACTTCTCGCCCTCCCTGAGCCTACCCACTCTCCCAGCTATTACCCTACACACAACAACTGCTCTCTTTTCTCCACCCTTTGGTCCAACATCACCAAACCGATCACTGATAAGGCTGCTCATCTTTATCTTTCCGTGACTCCCCTCTCCCATTTGAAAACCCCCCTCTACTATCCTACAAACTCCACAACATGAGAACTTGCATAGTTTGCGGAATTCAGCCAAAACCAGTGGAGGATTGGTACTAAGACAACGGGAAGATGGTTGACAAGCTATTGTGGTGGTGTGGAAACGAAGGAGCTCGTTACCATCAGCCAACCACCTTGGGTGCCTCCTTTGTTGTTTTTGTGCTCGAAATTTCACTGCTTCTCTGTAATTCTCGAACCTCTCGATGGCTTTGGGAGAGTGGACCACCTTTAGGACAGTGGAGATCTCCGGGAATTGCCTCTTGGGATCTTCAGAGGCTGCTTTGATTATCATCTCGACTATGTTCCTCGAGGTGTCTCCTTTGCTGAGCACTACGTTTAAGCATAAACATGTAGTAGGTAAAGGTAAAAAAAACACAGAAAAGTATACATTGAGATCCATATGACCATAAAAAATTGGGAAAGTATTTACTTTTAATACAAAAAAGTTGCAATCACTTTTATCTATCAGATTTCAAATTGGATGGTTGTGAGTGTATCATTTACTAAACTCTTAAGTTAAATTTTTTTTTTTTTCAAACTTTGTGATATATCCCAAGCTATCCAATGGTTAGTATCATTTGTGACCTCTTTATACAAAAAATAAATGGTCTCATAGTATACAATCCCTAGAGAATTTATGGTCATGTGTGTACTTATTCAGCAATCTATGCTTGGACGATTATGGAGGAGTGGGACCCAAAGAACATGAACTGAACCCAATGGTAGCCCCACCATGTCTTAATCATCATCCATTTATCAGCTGGGTGGCAATAGACGCTAGTGACCATATGGAACATATGGAATTTAGCATGCTTTATGTGTCTGTACAAACAAACACGCGTGGGCCCATGGCAATTTCCTACCAGCCTTTTTTTTTTTGTTTTGGTTGCTTTCATAGTCAGTCATGTAAATATTCACTTTTAACGGTCATAATCAAGTGGAATAATATCCATATTTTTTGTGATAGTCGTAGATGATTTTTTTTCTTCTTTTAATATCGATATTTGTTTCTATTCACTTTTTTTAGCCTTTTTCTGAATTTTTTTTCCATTTTAATTTTCTATTTTGATTTTCATGAAAATTTCGTATTAGATGAAATAAAAATATGTATTTTTGGAGATTTTATGAATTTATATATTTTGATTTATTTTTCATGTTTTGTATTTTTGCTTTTATATTTTGTCAAGAATAGTGTTTGAATAATTTGTTCTTGGTTGTATAGAGCCAAGGATCTAAACAATCAAATTAGAGCCCGCCTTCAAATAGTGTCCAGACTTATGGTTTTAATACTGGAAATTTTTTTAATAGTCTTAAAATATATTTTCATATTTAATTATAAAATTTCAAACTTCAAAAATAGTGTATATCGAGTAGATCTATGAAAACTTGAAAATCTTTAAAAATTGACCGTAAAACAATGCATTACAAGATGCACTATTTCCAAAATTTGAAATCTATTTTTTTTCTCATTTTCATGTATCTTGATGTCGAGATAATAAATTTGAAGATATTTGAGGATCAACACAACCTCTTATAGTGAAATTTTTGAGATAGGCTCTAATCTGATTGTTTATAGTGAAATTTTTGAGATAGGCTCTAATCTGATTGTTTAGAGCTCAGGCTCTATATAAACTTTTCCTTTTAGATAAACTTTAATGGTATTTGTATTTTATTTAATGTTTGTTTTGATTAAGGTATACCTCAAAATTTTGAAGGAAATATTTTTTTTCATATTTATTACTATAAATAGTTTTAATAATATTTGCATTCATTTTATTGCCTGAAAAATTCAAAAAGAAATAGGACCATGTAAATTAGAAAGGTAGATTCTTTTTTATATTATAGGATGTTGAGTTGGATGGAGTTTAGAGAGTTTTTTAATAATATTTGTATTTATCCAAATTTTTTCTCTCGAACTCCTCTATTGTCGGTCTCAAGACTCGACGAGTAAGGAGGAGGTTGTATTAGGTTTGCAACCACCAAAAACTTTTCTCACGTCTCTATCATGAGTCCTAATCCAACATTATATGGAGCGGAATGGAAAATAAGATTCGTGTAGCCGACCCCAAATAGTTGGGATAAAGTCTGAATGATAATGACGATTTAAATTTTTTACCCTAGACTTAGGGTTCCATTGAAAATGTTTGAAAAAATTTGTTTTTTTTGTAAATTTTATAATAACTTCTTTTAGTCTGTCTTAGGTAGTACATAGTTATTTGTTTTAATAATAATTTTCATTATTTTAAGAACCAGAAAATGTCTACCATCCTTGTTTATTTTAATCCTAGCTAAGTTCCCCAAACTAATTCTTTTCTCTCTTTCTTTTCTTTTTAATTCTTATTTCTCAAAAATAGACCCCTTTGCACCCTTGTTATCTCTTTTTACACTACTTGTGAGGGTAAGCATGGAGTATATTGGTTGATTCGCGTGCTTTCGTGAGTCAACACAATACAAAGTTGGAATGAAATATTTTGTTACCTTTTTAATGCTGCTTAGTAGCGATGAAAGTGGGGTTACAATGCATTAAGTGAAATTTTTAGGGGCCATAAGATATTTTTTTTTTATAAATAAAAAAATTACATATATATCTGTTATATTTTGCATTATTACGGATGTACCAAATAGTTTATATTATTATATGTATGTTCATTTTTTTCCTTTTATAACGTATTTTTTTAAAAAAGATGAGTTTACCTTTTTTTTGGATGTTGAATAACCGAATTGGAGTCCGAAAATATGCTAAAAGTTTAACGTTCATATTCCCATTTTCGGGTGTTGAACATCCGAATTGAAGCGTTTTTCGGATGTTCAATATCCGAAAATGGTTTCGGATGTTGGACATCCGAAAATATGACTTTGAATTTTTTGAAAGTCTCTGGAATTTTGCAGTTATTTTCGGATGATGAACATTAGAAAATATGATGTTTTCGGATGTCCAACATCCGAAACCATTTTTAGGTATTTAACATCCGAAAATGTCATATTTTCGAATGTTGAAACATCTGAAAATATGACATTTTCGGACGTCCAACATCCGAAACTATTTTCACAAGTAATACAATGTATCGACATAACCCCCTTCAATTTAGATGTTCAACACCCGAAAATGGGAATGTGAACGTTAAACTTTTGTCCTATTTTCGGATGTTGAACATCCGAAAAACCTTCCAATTCGGTCGTTCACCATCCGAAAACAGGTAAAGTCGTATTTTTCAAAAATTTACGTTATAAAAGGTAAAAAACGGACATACATGTAATAACGAAAACTATTTGATAAATCCATAATAACGTAAAGTATAACGGATATTTATATAATTTTCTCTTCATTAATATTTGTCTCCGTTTTGGGTATCATGAATAATTTGAGAAAACCTAAACTTCTTTATAAATATTATTTTAATTCATTTTGTTAGCTAGAGTTAGAATTTTATTGCTATTGTATTTGTGGTAGCTAGGGTCTAGATTTAATTGTTTTTGCTTTTATGTTCTTGTTATTTAATGTTTATTGTATTTAAGACTATTAAATATTGTGGCGCACTCAATTGAGAACCAACTCTCGGTATTCTCGACTTTTTGGATAATTTGGCCAAAATATTTTAAAAAATTCATCACCAACTTTCAATATTCTTGATTTTTTGGACAATTCGGTCAAAATATTTAGAAAATTCATCATTTTTTTCATAAGTCAATTTTAATTTTGATTTTTAATATTTTTGAATATTTTTTCGATTTTTTTTTTTCCAGCTCGGTATCACTGAACAAGTCTCACCTGGACGACTGGGACACAATGGGTGATCGGTTTAGCTCCCGAATCCAGTTTTTTAAAATACTAATAAAAGCTCTTTGTAGATATTTATTCTACACAAAAAAATTTCTATAAATTTTTGACAAATTCTCATAAATAGGGAACTCAATAGTTAGCAAAATATCCAGGGTTTCAAACATGAACTGCCGTTGTTTGAGCATTTTCTAACAATATAATTAAGGACGTACTCAGGTTAAATTATTCTGAAGGTAACCACTAAGTTGATACAACCATATAATTGATTTTTGGATGTGGTTTGACTATTTTGTTGATATTTTCTCTTTTCCAAAGATAGTCTAAATATCTAATTTTCCAAAGTGGTCTTGGTAAATTTGAAAATTGATTTAGAACATTCAATAGCAATTCTCAAAACGCTTGAAAAGATTGTAATAAAACCATAATGGAAGAGTGAGAAGGGCTATAATGTACTGTACTTAACAAAGCATTAAATTTTAGGTTTTTCATAATAAATTCTACCAAGATTATAATGAAGAGTGAGAGAAGGGGTTTAGGGGCACCGCATTATTTTCTTACCTTTACGTTAAATTTTAAGTTCACTTATTCATGGTGTATTATATAAAGGACTCGGTTTCTATACGGTTAAGCTCGCATATGTAAAAATGCAAACCTCTTAATAAATCTATTTTTGAGATGGATTTTAAGACTTAAGTTTTAAGGACATATAATCTCTAACATGGAGATCATAAATATAAATAAATAAATAAATTTTAAAAATTAAAAATAATAATTTTAGTAAAAAAACATCTACATCGATTAGTTTCTATTGTTTTTAAATGGAACACCTACTTGCATCTATCTTTAAAGATGCTTCACACTTTCTGGATTGCATATGTGGAAATACAGTCCAGCCTGTATGAAATAATTTTCCTTATATAAAATTATAAATGCCAGCATAAGTATCATTCATTTTACGAAATTTCTCTATGTTACTCTTGAACTGCACCATCGTCATCGAGACACCATGAGTTTTTTTGGAAGTTTCGTCCAAGCCTCCAAATTTCTTAGTATTCAAAAAGAGAGAAATTTATGAAATGATAGATGATAATCTATATTTTAGATGTTGATGTTTATTTTTAAAATTTTTTTACTTTTTTACTTTGTTAATAGAAAGAGCATTTAGAGCCACCTAAAAATACCGAAAACAATTGATGTCTATTTTGGAAGTCTTACTTTCGAAACCCTAAGAACATAAACTCGTTTTTGGGGTCACCACCTAAAATAAATGATGTATTTGTACAGTTTGAAAGCTTGAAAACCCCAAATCTAATGTCTATGTTTGCTTGTTGTGAGAAACATTAGTATAAAAAAAAGTATCACACAAAATTTTTTTTCTAAGGCTTGTTCAGGTACATGGATTTTAATGTATGGATTCCTAATATCTAAAATTTTGTCAAAATCCACCGTTTGGATTGCTTAATGACTAAGATACTAAAACAAGAAAAATCAAAATCATGAAAATAAGACCTATTTTTTCATGATTTCATTTCCACACCAAAACATTTTTTTTTGCATTTTCAATGCCCATGGATTTCACTTATTCGCTCCCTCGACCGGAAACATAGGGAGGACTTGGTAGGTATGAAAATTTTAGAGAGAAACTATCTCAAATTTTAACTTTTAGAAAGAGAAAGTATGTTAAAATTTTAGAGAGAGAAAGTATGTTAAAATTTTAGAGGGAGAGTACCAAATTTTTTTTAGAGAGATGAACTATCTTAAAATTTAACTTTTAGAGAGAGAAAGTATGTCAATATTTTAGAGAGAAAGCACCAAATTTTTTGGAGAGATAAACTATCTCAAAATTTTAGAGAGAGAAAGTATGTAAATTTTTTAGAGAAATAAACTATCTCAAACTTTAGAGAGAGTAAGAATGTTAAAATTTAGAGAGAGAATGTACCAATTTTTTTAGAGAGATAAACTATCTCAAAATTTTATAGAGATAAACTATCTCAAAATTTTATAGAGATAAACTATCTCAAATTTTAAGTTTTAGAGAGAAACTATCATATTTTAGAGAGAGGGAGTACATGCAAATTTTTAGATAGAGAAACAATCTCAATTTTATAGAGGGAGAAACTATTTCAAAACTTTTAGAGAGAGAAAAAATATCTTATTTTAATTTTTAGAGAGAGAAACTACATCAAATCTTAAGTTTTAGAGAGAGAAAGTATTCTTAAATTTGTAGAGAGAAATTATTCTTAAACGTTTAGAGAGAAATTATTATAAATTCTAGAAAGAGAAACTCCAAAAAAAATTTAGATAGAGAAATATCTCGTTTTTTAAGATAGACAAACTATCTTGAATTTTGAGTGTTAGAGAGAAACTACCTTGAATTTGGAATTTTAGATAGAGAAAATATATTTAAATTTTAAAGATAAAAACTATATCAAATTTTAGAGAGAGGAACTACGTAAAAAATTTTAGAGATAGAAACTATCTCAAAATTTTTGGAGATAGAAACTATCGTAAAATTTATGTTTTAGAGAGAGAAAGTATTTTAAAATTTTGAAGAGATAAACTATATCAAATTTTAAATAGAGAGAGTATATAAAATTTTTAGAGAGAGAAACTATTTAAAAAAATTTAGAAAGAAACTATCTCAAAAATTTAAGAGATAGAAAATATCACAAATTTTAAACTTTAGAGAGAGAAAGTATATCAAATTTTAGAGAGACTATATAAAAATTTAAAGACAGAAACTAGTTCAAAATTTTATAACGAGAAACTATCCTGAAGTTTTAGAGAGAGAAAGCATCTTAAAATTTAAGAGAGTAACTACATCAAATTTTAGAGAGAAAGTATATCAATTTTTGTAGAAAAAAAAACGATCACAAAATTTTTAGAGAAAAATTATCTCAAATTTTAGCTTTTAGAAAGAGAAAATACCTTAAAATGGGAGAGAACAACTATATCATATTTTACAGAGTGAAACTATTTAAAAATGTTTATAGAGGGAAACTCTCTCAAAATTATTGAAGAGGGTAGCTATTTCAAGTTTTAAGTTTTAAAAAGAGTATCTTAAAAATTTAGAAAGAGTAGATATATTAAATTTTAGAAGGAGTAAAGATGTTAAAAATTTTAGAGACAGAAATTATTTTAAATTTTTAAATAAATTAAATTTTAGATAGAAAGTATATTAAATTTTAGAGGGAGAAATCGTATCAAATTTTCAGAGAGAATCTATCTCAAAATTTCGTAAAACTAAATTCTTAGGAAACTAACTCACCTGAAAACTGGGCCGTGCCGGTATGTGTCCAGGGAATGATCTCACTGGGCGGAAATCCTCCATTAACGATAACTCCTCTTCTTTCGTGGTTGCCTCTCAATATTGGTCGGGCTCCAGCTTGACGCTTCTCAGGGTGAAAAAGAGCGGCTGGCTCTGTACCGCATTTCATGGAACTCTTTAAGGATAACCAGATGCTCTGCATTTCTTCCTGTTTAATTCCTTCCTTATAAGAAAGGTTTGATTTTTTGATGTTTAATGGTTTCTAGGATTTTCTGGTTTCAGGCATCAGACACGCAGAATAATGTCTCCAAATATCTTCATTATTTCATGCTTTTCAGATTCTTTTGAGCAATGCCTGTTGCTTTATTTTTTCTGGAACTAATTGTGAAGAGCTTTCACGATTGCTGAGAATTTGATGAATACTTTTTCCTGCAAGAGTATTCCTCCCCACAAATTTTCAGAGAATTGAAACAACCTATATCCGAGCTTTCTTCCCCTGATTTTGTGATTCTTCCCCGATTTTTAATGATTCATGCGTTTTAATTGCACCAGAATAAAAAACCTTCCCTAAAAAACGTAGAAATTAAGCTTTTGATCGTGGAAAAATAATTCGACTCTGCTACATATGGAGAACGACAGTTGAGATTTTCTGAACAAATATTCAAAGCCCAAAGCGGCTTTATACGAAATTCTAGCTCAAAATGAATCACAAATAAATATGAAAACGCTTTTCCTGAGAAATTAATCCCTAGAAAGAACGTGCTTCCACAAACGTCACTGGTTTTTAATGTCCAAGCATGGACCATCCGTTTTGCCCAAGACACTCAACTCGCTGTAATAAAGTTCAAACAAAACCCTACTCTCTCTCTCTCTTAATAATTTAAACATTGAACACGCACTCTGTCTCTCTCTCTCGCCCTTTCTGTCCCTCTCTCTCTCTCTCTGTTTCCTCATTTCTTTTGACCATACTTTGGGTAAAAATTCTATCCGAACTATGGTCAAATCTCATCATCTTCTGATACATCACGCCATTTTCCGTCTATTTCTTGGACTGTAACTTTTTTGCATCATTTTTAAGGCAAAAAAACCTAGCCAAAACCCTAGATTTCGCAGAGATCACAAAAAACCTAATAATCCGCTGGATATTTCGAAGCCCTAAACCCCAGCTTCAAAAGACGGTGTGCCTCTCAATCTGCCAAAAGGAGTGTTCCAGGAGAAGGACAAAAGAAGTAATTGAAGGAGAGTTGTAGGGTTTCTATCTGCCCTTAAAGCTCTGCTTTTGAGCTCCGAGTAATGCCATGCGATGACGGTGAAAATCATTGGAGAACGGTTTCCAGAGAACGGTGGTCGACGCTATAGACAAGAATGGCCTTGTCCTCGAGGGTCAGAACAAGCCCAAACATGGAAGGGTAGTTCGGTAAATTTACTATTTCTTTTCTTAGTTACACGACGGAGTTAAACTCCGTACTCCCGTGAACAGGTGGCAAATTGTCGGGTACCGGCCGGAACCGCCGGAACAGTAATCGGTTTCAGCTTTTGGGCCCGGACCTATCCTATTGGGTCTAAAAGTTGGACCCATACCCATACCCGTACCCGTACCCGTACCCGTTGGGTATTGGATATATCCTGTCGGGCCCATTGCCATCCTCACTATTATTATTATTATATTTTGTTTTTTTTTTTTATCATCATATATCTGTATTATTGGCAAGAAGGTCACAATCTTAAATTTTAAGCCGTCTGATTTGTCGTTTACTAGTTAAAAAAGACTATTGAATTCTTATGGTATACGATTTTTAATACACCCAAATGAATTGGACTTGAAATAATTTATCTCTAACTGTTTATGGGTACAGGTCGGATCCAAGTTTTGGACCCAGACCCTACCCTCTAAGTCCAAACATTGGACCCATACCCCATTCCCATGTCAAATATACCCTACAGGTCCTGGGTCGGGTGAAGTCCATTGCTACCCCTACGTGAACCTTTTTTCCGTGAAAAAATTGGGAGGTTTATAGTGTAATCCACAATAGTAGCCAATTGACCAAATCGGCCCGAAACTGGCCAAAGCGATAGTGCCCAGGCTTCGCTTCGGTCTAGGCCTAAAAATCGAAGACTTCAACGTCTTCGGTCGAAACAAAAGCGAATCCGACAACATTGATATAAAACTTTTAGGGAGTCCATTTAAAAAGAGCCATCTTTGTTTTTACTTCCATCCAACTGGGCACGATCGACAAGTTGCCCTCTTTGTAGACGCTTATTGACAAAATAACGCCACAAGGCCCCCCACTAAAAACGTTTGTTATTTATGATTTCTATTCAATGCGCTTCCCTAGTGCAGTTGTTTGATGTAGTCGGTTTTTTTTGTTTTATCAATATTTTGGTAGGCTAAAATTAGGTTGGGATTATTAGTTCTTTTATTTTTTATCTTAGAATATTTTTGCCTTTTTTTGTGGTACAAAATTAAGGGGGGGGTTTGCAATTTTGATTATGAAGAGATAAAAGGGTATGATTTAATTGTGATTAAGTTTATTAAGAAGTAAATTAAGTTTCAAGGTTTAGTTCTATAAACATGTTAGTGTTGGACAAGAAATAGAGAGAAGAAATATAATTGAATTTGGGTTTTGTAAAAAGATTTTTCCTATGGTGCTGCAAACTCTCATGCAGATCTAGAGAGCGTGTATTCTTGCATTTATTCGTTGTGCTTATTTGTCTTGTGTTTTTTCCGTCTTCACTGCATCAAATGCTATCAAAGCCTTGAGATACATCATGATACCATCAAAAAGTCTTCTAATATATATATCATGTAAAACCGATAGTTGAGACAGCCAAAATGGACCCAAAAGAAAGCATTTATAACGTAATCCAACAAATGTTACCAGATCTACTTAATAGATTGCAATATATGGACCAAGAAGAAGACAAAAAGTTGAATATATAATATAAGTATCAATGAAACACAACTACAAGCTCTGGGAATAAATAGTGAAGAACCCATCAAACTAATTATAAGATAAGAAATACAAACTATTGAAAGTGAGATTGGTAATGGAATTATTGCAGATTTCACAAATATTTGAAAGAAGATCCAAATTAAATGGTTTATTAAGGACAAATTAAGATGGAAGGATTGCCAAGACAAGTTATGGGGATTACACTATTAATTAAGGACATGAATTCAACAAGCTCAAAGTTAACCTTCTACCATCCTCGCCAAAGTGATGTAGTTAAGGTTTTTATTTTTATTTTATTATTTTCAGGAGATTAAAAATGGTATGGGGTTATCTTAGGAAATTTGTGTTTGTTGTTGTAGATAATTAATGGGTAGAGTTGAAAGTTGAATTTTGAAAAGATGAAGGACTAGGATTTAATTGTAATTAAGTTTTTTGAAGAGCAAGTTAAGTATTAGGGTATACAAATATGAAAGTGTTACACAAAAAATAGAGAGAAGAAGAAGGAGAACTAATGTTAGGTCTTATGGAAAACTATTATTTTGGGGTCGACTTCCATTCCGAGTTAGATAGTGGGTATATTCTCTTACCTTTTTTTTATGTTTATTTTTCATGTTTGTTTTAAGTTGTTTTTCCGATTCCTTATATCATTGTTGAGGTGTAATTATGACACTTTTTGAAGATAGGGATTATTGTGCATTGGCACATAACATGTATAGCATGCTTCTGTTGGAGCACATTCTACACTTACCACTCTTTTTAGTTTTTCCTTATTTTATTTTTTTTAATTTTTAAATTTTTATTTTTATTTTTGAGGTTCTCTATGTAAAATAGGTTACATACCTGAAAGTAGGGGTCCTAAAGATACTTCTAAAGATGGTTTTCTACCAAAGGGAGCATCAGAAGCATATTATCTGTTGACATTTGCATGATAGTTGCTTCTAGTCACTTTTGTTTTTTTTTGTAAAGTAGCCAATAAAACAAAACAAGAGTGTATATACCATGCTCTTATGGAAGCAAAAAATCTAGTAACTCCCTTGGGAAAATGATCTACTTCTGGGGATTTTTTTAATATGATACTGTAGGATCCGCTGTAGAGCGTCCTTATGTGTATTCCAAGACAAAAAGCAAAAGGATTTTAAGGACCAAAACATTAGGTCTAACTGTCCAAAAATTAAATGATTTGTGTGCAACTCTATGATGTAATTTTTTTTTCATGATGATTCAGGGTGCCTATCAAGATTTTTTTTTTTTTTTTCAAGTTGGTTGCTAGGCTGAGTAGGTCAATCCTCAAGACCAAAAATAGAGAATACTTGTGATTTTGGAGGATCTTTGAGAGCGAGAGTACAACTAAGAGATTGATTGATTATTTCTTGGAATGGGTATATCTTGCGAGTATAATTACGTCATGGTTTTTTATCAATTTAATATACCAAGTTGGGTTATTTAATAATTTAAAAAAAATGAGATCATCTCGTGCCCTCATATTCTTTGTATAATTGCTTTTCCCTTTGAACTCCAGTACCTAAACCTAGGCCTTCTGGGCATAATTGAATCAAAGAGTAAACCATAAAGTTAAAGATCTAATTCGGTCAAGGGGAGACTCTGCAAAATTTTATGATCAAAGGTTAAGCAGATATTTGGGTCCTCAAAATAATCTTAGGACTTTATTTCAGATAGAAAATGATGATCTTAGGACTTTCTAGAAAACAATAATGATGATCGACGGACTTAAGCCTCTCTCGTGAATCATGCAGCGTTTACTACTTCTCTTTCTCCATTAACTTTAAGAGAAACATACCACTTTAGTGCCACCCTCTCTTTATGTTACATATGATTTTGTACCACTTTAGTGACACTCTCTTGATGTTACATATGATTTAAGAGAAATATACCACTCTCTCTTGATGTTACATATGATTTTTCCACAATCTTTTTAGGGACCGTTTGGATAGAACGAAATTAAGAATCTTAGATATTTGAAATCTTAAAGAAATTTATGGATTTTCAATATCAAGGATTTTTGGCATGGATTCCTCAAATCTCTTGTTTGGATAAACTATATAAAATCTATGGATTCCTTGCAATCACTTCCATGTCCATTGTTTGGTAACAAAACTTGATACAATTTCTCTCTCTAAAAAAATTATATGCCTTCTCTCTCTAAAACTCAAAATTTGGGACGATGTATCTATAAAAATTTTGAGATAGTTTCTAGCTCTGAAATTTGATATGGTTTCTCTATCTAAAATTCAATATACTTTCTATCCAAAATTTAAAATTTGAAAGTGTCTATCTAAAAATTTTGAGATAATTTCTCTCTCTAAAATTTTTAAGTGCTTTACTCTCTCTAAAATTTGATGTAGTTTCTCTTTCTAAAATTTTAAGGTACTCTCTATCTAAACTTAAAACTTGAGATAGTTCCTCTCTTCAATAGTTTTGAGATAGTTTCTCTCTAAACATTTTTAAGTAGTTTCACTCTTTAAAATATGATATAGTTGTTCTCTTAAATTTTAATATACTTTCTCTTTCTAGAAGCTAAAATTTGAGACAATTTATCTCTAAAAGTTTTGCAATAGTTTCGTTTTTAAAAAAAAATTATGTATTTTCTCTCTAAAATTTGATATAGTTACTCTCTTAAATTTTAAGATGTTTTTTCTCTCTAAGTTTGAGATAGTTTCTCTCTCTAAACATAAATTTTGCGATAGTTATCTCTCCAATAATTTTGAAATAGTTTATATCTATAAAATGTTTTAGGTAGTTTCTCTCTCTAAAATTTCATATAATTTTTATCTTTAAAATTTTAATATATTTTCTCTCTCTAAAATTCTAAATTCGTGATAGTTTCTCTCTAAAACTCAAAATTTGAGATAGTTTCTCCCTCTTAAAAACGAGATATTTCTCTCTCTAAATTTTTTTTGGTAGTTTCTCTTTTTAGAATTTATAAAAATTTCCTAAAAGTTTAAGAATACTTTCTCTCTCTACAATTTTAAGAATAATTTCTCTCTTTACAATTTTAAGAAAACTATATCTCTCTAAAACTTAAGATTTGGTATAGTTTTTCTCTCTAAAAATAAAAATATGAGATTGTTTATCTCTCTAAAAGTTTTGAAATAGTTTCTCTATCTAAAAAATTGAGATAGTTTATCTCTCTAAAAATTTGCATGTACTTTCTCTTTCTAAAATATGATAATTTCTTTCAAAAACTTAAAATTTGATACAGTTTCACTTTCTAAAAAATGTTACTTCTTCTCCCTAAAATTTTAACGTACTTTCTCTCTCTAAAATTTTAATATACTTTTTCTCTCTAAAAGTTAAAATTTGAGATAGTTTTTATCTCTAAAATTTTGAGATAGTTCACCTCTTTAAAAAAATTTGGTACTTTCTCTCTCTAAAATTTTAACATACTTTTTCTCTCTCTCTCTCTCTACTAAAACATCTCTCTCTCTCTAAAAACATACTTTCTCTCTCTAAAAGTTAAAATT